GCCTCAACCCAGGCTTCATTGATAAGAAACGGAGGACCCTCATATATGACAACTGGTGAATATTTTATCTTTGGACCAACATGGTACTCTGGGTGATACTCCACCCCATCGCCACTGTTGTAAATAAGCACCTTCCATAAATGCTCATGCTTGGGATCAGGAGAGGCGACCTTGAAAATCTCACACAACATTGCATGCAATGTAAATCCACAAAAGAAAACAACAGAGTTTGTCTTATTTCCAAATGCTCTTAAGTCGGTATCATATGGCAAGGGTTTCAGATCCTGTACCTTCTGATAAACATCAAATGGATTGAGATTGGAAACTTGTGTGATTGTATCCATAATTTTATCGTAGACCTCCGAGCCAATGGCGTATTCTGCGTTCAAGAAATTTGTCTTAGAAACAGAAAATATCTTATTAATGACTTGATTTGCAATTCTTCGATCTTGTCCATCAAATATTTTTGGAGTAAAAGCGTCTCCTATGAACAGGCAAAGATTTTTAATGTCCAATGTTTGTCTTAACATAATATTAACAAGTAATATCAATAAAATCGCGTCCAATGCTTTCATGGTGTTCATTTGGGTGAAAAAAATCTAGCCTGGTGATGTAAAATGCAACTTTTTAATTAATGTCATTAAAACGAGGGCCATTGGTACTTAATTTACGCCAATTGACGGTGGACAAATTGAACATGCAACCTTGTCCTGATTTGTCATTCAAGCCCTAACCCTAGTTCTGTGATGTTTGGTGTTCAAAGCTATGTGTTTAATTGGACATTTCAGGAATTATCCAACGCTATATTTTGAGTGGAGGCAAAAGTTGTCGTGAAAAAAAGTACATTGCAGGCTTAATTTTTGAGAAACGGCCTGCCTAATGAGAATCCAAAATGGTTTATTTCTGACAATTCTGATAGCTGAAAGAACTAAGGATAATCGACGTGTAGCTCTTCATACGCTACAAGCGGAAGTTTGAAGGCTAAAAGAAAATTTCTCAAACAGAGACAAAGCCATCACCCTCATAGGTGAAATAAGGAAAACCTCCATAAGATTTTAATGCCCCAGAATAGAAAAAATAGAAATCCACAAAAATCTTAAAGTTCTTTGAAATCGAGGAAATAAGTGCTCAATTGTCAGAACTCGAAAATTTTGAATGTGAGATTTTTCTGCGGTCTAATCGCGAGGCCCAAACACTAACCTTGTAAAGCAATAAATTTCGGATTTAGGACCATTAAAAAATATCATACAACATTTTTAGAGGAATTCTTCGTGGCGAAATGACACCCTTGACGATGGTCAGGAATCATGGAACAATTTCCAAATATCGGCTGAATGGGTTTCCCAAAACAGTCTAAACAACTGTCTGCTTTTATTTATCTTTGTAGAATTTGGCTTTAGGAGTACTTCTGCAAGCAGCCCACACCGCATGCTTGCATGGGTATACTCATCAGCTTAGCTTTAAGATTTCCTTTTATTGCTTGCCTGGCTCAAGACTCAACACGGTACTCTCCAAATCCTTTGAAAACGAGATCACAGCAAATTTTCTATTTATGCCATCTTTCCAAAGACACCCATGGGTGAATTAAAAGGTTGAGGCGGAGAATGTACCCATTTGGATTATCTTTTGAATTTGTGTCAATACGGCCTCTTTGAAAAAGTTCTTGCCTAGTTGCTTTTAAATACCTATTTTCTCACCTCTGAATTTAATTTAATTTAATTGTCAAATTTTGGCTTTGATTGGCTATGCGTGTAAATTTATTGGATTTGCTAGCACAGTTTTTTTATTGCATGCACTCGTTCATCTTTTTGGCTGCTTTTTTGCTGCTGGCACATATAGCTTTTGTGCGATGCCAAACCTGTTCCACTATCCTGCTATTAAATATAAATGGGATCAACGAATACCAACAATACTTTGAAGAATACAAGAGCATGCTTGATGATCTTTTAGAAGATAAAAAGAATGTTGATGCTTTTAGTCAACAAGAAAAATACGCCCTTCAAAACGCCATCGATGAAGCCGAAAAGCATCTGGCGAGCGATCCAATAAAAGCTCTCGATGAAATCCTAATCCTCTACGTGCAAGCCATAGTCCAAGTCAAAGCTCAAAAGAAACCAGTCCGTACTCTTGGGCTCAACCCCACCCCTGCATCTTCTGTGTACATTTCTCCAAAGCAGATTTCAAACTTTACTTTAAATATTGAAACCGTGTTTCGCACCCATTTCGAAACTGCGCAGGTCTCTGAACGAACACTGAAATATTTTGAAGAAGGCACCATCTTTGAAAAGCTGCTCAACGTTTCTCCTGTTTATTCTGGAAGCATGCTACTCTCCTCCTTTAACCGGATATCTCTTTTGAGGAGCCTTTTTCTGCATCTGCTCAGCCTTAGCGAAACCTACACCAAAACGACAGTTCAGGGAAACAGAACACATTCGGATTCAATGCTTAGTGCCTCGATGGTTTTGCTGGAAAAACTGTATGAAAGCTTTAAAATTATTTCGCAAAAATTCGACGCCGAAGTTGCTTCATTTAAAGATGAAACTTATTACTGTTTTGCAGAAATTGGCCAAAAATGTGATGCCGAATTTTCGGGGTTGGTGGAGTTTTGTAAAAAAAAATATGCCAACCATTTTGAGCTTTCAGAACTGGAAAAATTTTGTGCAGCAAAATACCCTGAAGACCTTCAAACCGCAAAGCTTAAAGCAAAAGAAGTTATCAAGATGGGTGAGTCATTCAATAAGAGTCTCGGTCTTCCATCAAAAATCAGCATGCATCAGCTGGAGGATACTGCCAAAAGCTTTTCTTTACATTTAAACCTTTCTGAAATCTTGCTTATCGAGTGGATGAGCGCTTATAAGGCAGACTGGTCGAAAATTTACACCATAGCTTTCAGGATAATTAATACAGCAATCAGTATCTATGACTTTATAAATCAAATTTTTACTGATGACGTTAAGAAATTGAAAGTTGATCTTGACATGTTTTCGTATCCTTGGGAGGATTACATTTCAGCTGCTAAAAATTTTGATCAAAGCAGAAACCTTGCCTCTACGAAAAGATATGCCTCTATTCTATCTGGTCAAATGGAAAATATCAAACTAGGTGCTGATAATTTGTCTAAAAGGGTTCAACAGACCCTTCAAAAGATCGGTAAAATCAAGGTTTTTCCCGAAAAAGAAAAGAATCTTGCGATTGATTTTATTAACCTAGCCAACATTAATAGCGAACTTTCAGATTCCCCTTATCTCCAAGATATTACCAACCTGTTTAAGGATTTCAAACATCTTGAGGACTATTTGGCTAATCTTGACCTTAGAAAGTGCCACATTTATGAAGATGAAATAGCTGAAATGGTTGCATACTATCAAATTCTCCTCGAGGATAAAAAAACCCTTTTCATGTACGCACACAATCAAACATTTGTTCCTCTTCTCAAAGAAATGGAGGATCAAAATAAAAAAGCAGCTGCCACTAATATCACGGTCTTGGAGCTAAAAAGTCTCAATCTCTATCTTGGTCGAAAAGATGCAGACCTTTCTGAGATCATCCGATTTTTTTCCGAAATTCCTCAAAATATCATCAAAGTAGGAAGCAAAATCATTGAATGCAAACGTGTTTTGCCTGTGAAAGAAATTCAAGCTTTCTCTGATGATTTTACGGCGCTGAATGCCACCCATATTGGATCCTATCTTTCTTCCATCGATGCTAGATACGATCTTCTTTTGTCTGCTCAAACAAAGTTAAGACAGGTCTATTCTCAAATTTATTCTCTAAGCATTAGGCTTGCTAATATTTCTGATGATTATCAAAAAGAGGCACTAAAGGATGATCCGCTCATCTTAGAGCTCATTAAAGATCCCAAAAAGTTTCAACGCAATATTGCTTCGTCTCTCGAACAAGCCTCTGGACTGCTCGAAAAATTCAAAGAGAACAATGATTGCACTATTACTGATAGCGTTATCCCAAACCCAAGCCTAAGCCAAACTGGGAAAGTGGTGGTAAATTATATCATCAAAGACCTCCTTTTTGATCCAAATTTTCGGCCAAAAAAAATAGTCTATGTAGCATCGCTCGTTAGACCTGGAGAGTCTATCGATAAAGAAAGCATCGCCCCAATAAGATTGATCAGCATGACCGAAATTGACAGAGAAAAGCTAATGCGTGAAGTGACGGGAGATTTTCTCATTAAACAATTTGTAAAATCCGAGGAAAAGATAGCTTTTGTCGAAAGGGCATTTTCAATTCAGCATCAGCTTGTACATGAAAACATTGTTCGTGCTTACCAACAGGATGGAGATCAAATATTTATGGAATATGTACAAGGGTGCGATTTGTCTTTGATCCCTCAAGATTGGACGAAAAATGCAGCCATACTCGGTTATATTTTCAAAAAAGCTGCACARGGTCTTAAATTKATTCATGAAAACGATATTGCGCATGGCGACTTGAAGCCTTCCAATATATTGGTATCAAGACAAGGGGATGTGAAAATCGTTGACTTTGATTTTGCTGTCGAGATCAAAAGGGTCAATTCAAAAGATATTGCAACAAAAGAACACCCTTCAGGAAAACCTCCATATTCAAAAGAAGAGTACTATTTTAGTTTTCCGCTCCCATACTGTTCTCCAGAGTTTATTAACCTTCTATCTGTGGTCCCAAAAGGCATTGAAGACATACTTGTCAACAAGAAGAACATCACATCGGAATGGGCTGCTTTAACGCGAAAAGATTTGCGTTTTACCCCTAAAAACAACACGTTTCCCACAAAAGAATCAGATGTTTTTTGTTTTGCAGCTGCTTTTATTGATATTTTTAGCAATGAAGAGTCGCTCAGATACGACCGTAATTATTTGGCTTTCAAAAAAAAGGGTAACGAAAGCGAAGAAAAGCGTAAAAACTATCAAGATGTCCTGAATCTAATTAAATCCTTTGATGCCAAGTTTGCTGAAACCATTAACATGGCGCTCGATCCGTGTCCTGAGAAAAGACCCACTATTAGCGACGTGTTTGAGTGTCTCGAAAACTCGCCCTGTTGCACTGAAACAGAATTCAAAGGGTTTGCTTCAAATCTTCAAAAGGATGAGCCTATTTCTTTTCTTAAAAACCGGAATAAATTGCATGCATGAAACCCGCAGATTCCGTCCGAAATTTCAAAAAACCAATAAAAAAACCATTCGCAAATAAAAGTAACTCTCCAGGGTTTTTCGATCACGATTTGATACAAAACATATTTTCTTTTGGAAGTATTCATAGCGCAGCCGYCCATTTCAACCCCAATTGTCTTTTTCAAAGCAGCAGAAATAAAGCAGCTACAGCATTAGGATCTACCTTTTGTCAAACAAATTTGGCACCAATGCTTTTTTTAAGGTTAGTCGGGGATAGGTGGTGCTTGTTTCCAGCGATCTATTTGAATTAAAAAAAAAGTCCAGCCTAAAGCCAACATTTGCAATGGCTAAAGTTTCTGCGCTGTATTTTACATCGCTGCATTTAAGGGCCTTTCTGCATGGTGCAACTGCATCCATGCTGCTGCAGATGGCCTGTTTACCGCGATTTTGATGCATTTTATATGTTTCGCGAACGCTTATCAAATTTTCGTGCTATTTTGGGACATTTCTGCGACAATAAAATTTTCGGCATTTTTCAACATCTTAAGCATGGCATCGCTGGAGTGAGAGAAATCTTGGCGTTTTTCAATCGAGCAAGTAAAATTTAGTTTGCAGCTAGGGTTAGATGCTCGAATTTTCAATTAATTTCAATGACATTTGGTGGTCTTTTCTCACAAACATCTCCATGCATGCATTGCATGTGTCGAACATGAAATTTTATATTTTTCAGCGTCGCGCTAACCCTGCATGGAACCGGCGTCTGGATGCTGAAATTAGCAATGGCGCCTTCTACAAGCGCGTTCTTCGCATCCATTCTGCATATTTTGTCTCTTTTCTCACCTGTTTCTTTTTCGCCCATTTGGTGCGGGCACGGATCTTAAGACCAGGCACCTCAATGAAAGCTGGATGCTGAAGATAGGATAGCATCAGCTAGTACACCTAGTTTTGGTTTAGCCTGCATCATCGACCCAAATATGATGCTTGTATATTTGGGTATCTT